CCCCCCCCCCCCCCCATCTCTCTGATCTGCTACAACCGTATGTCCCACCACGCTCCCTGAGGTCAGCGGACCAGTTGCTCCTCACAGTTCCAGGAACTCGTCTTAAGCGCAGAGGTGACAGGGCCTTCTCTGTAGCAGGACCAAGACTTTGGAACGAGTTACCTCTGCTTGTCAGACAGGCCCCCTCCCTCTCAGTTTTCAAGTCCCGTTTAAAAACTCACTACTATTCAGTAACTTTCAACACCAGATGATCTGTGTTTGATCCTGTATGCTCTACACTGGTTTTTCGTCATTATCTGCATCGTTTTATGTCTATATTCTGATTTACCTCATTTTGTATTTTGCTTTGTGTGTTACCTGTTGTTCTGTCTGTACAGCACTTTGGTTGGCCTTGTAGCTGTTTTAAGTGCTTTATAAATAAAGTGGTATGGTTTTAAAATGTAAAAATATTTCAGAACGTTTTTTCTTTATTTTAAAGCTTCAGCTGGAAGTTAAACCCCCACACCTCGGCTCCTTCTGCCTTTAACCGTTTATTTGTTTTTATTAACTGTCGATACGCGAGGAAACAGCTGTTCATGTGTGTCCAGGTAACCCGGTCACGCTCCGGTACTGGCAGGAGTCCAGCGTGACAGCTGATTGGCTGAAGCCGGACCAAAGCAGTGGTCTGACGGTGGAGACGACGGCGTACGTCCTGCTCGCCGTGCTGCTCAAGGTGCTGCTAAGTCCTGGAACTAGGACGGTTCCTGTGGTTTCTGGTCCTGATCCTGGTTTTGTGTTTCATCTTAAAGGGGAGGATCCACTACGCCAACCCCATCCTCACCTGGCTGTCTCAGGACCAGCACTACGGAGAAGGTTTTTACTCCATGAAGGTACTCCACCTCTGCCCTGTCAGCTCCTCTTGGAAGGCTCCAACTAATGAAGCCTCCTGTTCTGGTGCCAGAAGATCTGCACATCCTAAATTAACAATAACTGATTTTTTTCAGTTTTCAAATCCAGTCAGTTTTAAAATGCACGTTGTCACGGCAGCAGTTGAAACAGTGATGTAACGTGCTCACTGTAGCGAGGACCACCAGAGCGTGGGCCCGTCTCGTCGTAGTCCACTTTTACAGAAATCAAGCGTTTTAAAGATGAATAAAAACCGTTGAACAGATTGAAAGGACAACCATATTTAAAGGAAAGTGTTTATGTGAAATTAGTTTGAAATAGAATTAAATTTGTTGTTAAAAAGAATAAAAGTTTATTTTATTTTTGACTTGGAAATGAAAGATATGAGGTATGACCGCTGCACTAAATGGTGTATAAAAACGTCCTTGAAAAGCAGGACAATGTCCTGAAAGCCGTCCTCCAGAGTTGGACACAGATCTGTCTCTTTTGGTCTCCATGGTGACGTCTTTCAGGACACGGTTTTGACTCTGGAGGCGCTGACGGAGTACAGGAAGGTCACGCCTCGAGCCGTCCTCAGTCAGGACATCAACATCCGCTACAACAGGAAAGGAGCGCTGGGACAGGTCCAGCTGAGCCAGAGTCGACCTGTGGCCACGCCCATCCAGGTGAGACACCTGCTCCTGAGCAGTCCGGTCCAACAGAACCTCTGGTTATTAACAGTCTCCGTTTTCCCCTGAAGGTCACAAAGGGCGATGACATCATAGTGTCCACAGGTTATGGGAGGGGCGTGTCCAGTGTGAAGGTGGGTGTGGTCATGTGACCTCAGTGGCGTCTCAGG